ACAGAGGCTGAGGTGAAGCTGCTGCGGCAATATGAGCGTGAACGGCAGCCCCTGGAGGAGCTGGCAGCTGAGGACCGCTTCATGCTGCTTTTTAGCAAGGTGGAACGGCTGACCCAGAGAATGGCTGGCATGGCCTTTCTGGGCAACTTCCAGGACAACCTGCAGATGCTCACACCGGTACAACCTCTTCCCTAATCACTATCCACTGCTGTCACTAGTCATGTCTACTGTCCATCCTTCTGGCCCTATCCCTTGACTTTATCTATCATTCTCCCAAGCTGGGTGACTCAGTGTTTATCTTGTCTTACAGCAATTGAATGCCATCATTGCAGCCTCTGCCTCTGTCAAGTCCTCACAGAAACTGAAGCAGATGTTGGAGGTTGGGAAAGGGAGTGACTGGGGTGTTGGTGGCTCCCAGGTCCTGGGTGGGTCCTAGTACTACTATACAGAGGACGAAGTCCTTGGGCTTCTGGTGACCTTCCTTCGTGCATCTTATGAACAGATCATACTTGCTTTGGGGAACTACATGAACAGCAGCAAGCGAGGTGCCGTGTATGGCTTCAAGCTCCAGAGCCTAGATCTGGTAAGGTGGCGGGGACGCCATGTGCAGGAAGATTGGAACACCAGTGTTAGAGCCAGGGTGTTCAGCTCTGTGTTGCTTCCACTGCCTTTCAGCTGCTGGACACAAAGTCCACTGACCGGAAAATGACACTGCTGCACTTCATCGCCTTGACAGTGAAGGAGAAATACCCAGACCTGGCTACCTTCTGGCATGAGCTGCACTTCGTGGAGAAGGCTGCAGCAGGTGAGGGACAACCTGCCTCACGTCCAGGACAATCTCAGGAAGCTGAGCAAGAGGAACACCTGGGCCCATTTCTGGCTTTTGTTATCCTTTTCATTGCTTCAAAGCTTTCCGCTAAGGCCCTGAGCAGGGGCCACTCCAGAGGGAGCCTTCCTCTGAGCTCAAGTGGGATCAGGCTTCCCTTAGGCTGGCCCAGAGATTGCATTTCTCTACCACTTATGTGATAGAGAACTTATAAAGCCCCCTACACACATAGAGTACTGCTGTTTCTGTCCTGCCTATGAAAAACTACAGCAGGCCCAAAGCAGCTCTGGCTTGGAGACCAGCATTCTCAGTGGTTTGCCTTCTTTTGCTATCTTGTTCTTTCTTTGAGGTCATAAACTCTTGCCCTCCATTCCTTCTCACTGCCCAGAGAACTTAGTCTGCCTGACATGGACTTCTCTACGTGACATGGGAGTCTATGTCATGGGGGGAGGGTACATATAGTCCTGAGCAAGCCTCAGCCAGACCTCTCGGTAAATAGTGTCCCTGGAGAACGTGCTGCTAGATGTGAAAGAGCTGGGCCGGGGCATGGAACTGATTCGGCGGGAATGCAACATTCATGACAACAGCGTCCTTCGAAACTTCCTCAGCACCAATGAAGGCAAACTGGACAAGCTCCAGCGAGATGCCAAGACTGCTGAGGTGAGCAAGGAACTGAAGTAGAAAATAAACATCCAGAACAGCAGTCTCAGCCTGTGGGTTGAAAACCCTTTGGGGGAATGAATGACTGTTTCACAGGGGTCACATGTCAGATATTTACATTATGATTCACTACAGTAGCAAAATTAGTTATGAAGTAACAACGAAAATAATTTTATGGTTGAGGGTCACCACAGCATGAGGAACTGTATTAAAGGGTTGTAGCATCAGGAAAGTTGAGGACCACTGTACTAGATAGAGCCAGACACTAGGCCACTTTATGCAGCCTGCCAGCTATTAGGGAGCTCTAGGTGGGAATAAGGAAGGACTTTAAAGGTAGCAGACATCCATGTCTGGAGTTAGGACTCTTGGGAACCTTGGAGACACCCCACATTTCTCTCTTGTTCATGGGGGCTTGGGTAGTTGGTTTTCCTCCCTTTGGCCCTAGGTGTTGCTTTTTTGCCGGCCTTGTGACCATGTGTGAGTGCTGGGCTTCTATCCACCAGGATGACCCTTCTGTCTGCCCCTTCCTTACTCAGGATGCCTACAATGCAGTTGTGCGCTACTTTGGCGAGAGTCCCAAGACCACACCTCCTTCTGTGTTTTTCCCAGTATTTGTCAGATTCATTCGTTCTTACAAGGTAAGTTGAAGCAATTTCTAGAAGAGTTTGGTTGAGAGAAAATGATTAGTCAAGAAAGCGCCTGGGCTTCAAGTCCCAGTCTTTTCTGTTCCTGAGGTCTAGGAAAGGAACCATGGAAGCTGGCGACAGGCCTCTTAACTGTGAACTGGTGGGCGGGGTGGGGCCCAGCCCCTTCCTTTCATTGTTTGGAGCAGGAAGTACCCCTGCAGCGGGTGGCCACCTGGGGTTAGTTGGTCTTACTGCCACCCACTCTCCATGCTCAGTGTCAGCCCCTCCTCTCCCAGCTTGTGAGAGCCTCTCGCTCCCCCCATCTCTTGGTTCTTTCTAAGGAAGCAGAACAAGAGAATGAAGCTCGCAAGAAACAAGAGGAGGTCATGCGGGAGAAGCAGCTGGCTCAGGAAGCCAAGAAGCTGGATGCCAAGGTGGGTGGGACCAAGGATCTAGAGGGCAGGATGAAAAAACTGAGGATCCAGAAAGGACATGAAAAACCAAGACAAATGCACGCACGCCCCCTCCATTGGAGTGCTAAAGGCAAGAGTCCAGAGGGAGGGTCAGACACAAATGGACAGGACATAGGGCTTCTCTCAGTAGGGCTATCTTCAGACTACATCTTAGGACAGGAACCAGTTGCTTGTCAAGTTAGTGATGACTTCCTTCCCCTAATAATATTTGGCCCTAGACTCCATCCCAGCGGAACAAATGGCAACAGCAGGAGCTAATTGCAGAGTTGAGGAGGCGCCAAGCTAAGGAACACCGGCCTGTTTATGAAGGGAAAGATGGTACCATCGAGGACATCATCACAGGTGGGACCTTTTTCCATTGGGCCCAATTCCCAAAGCCTGAGTCAAACCCCACCTCCTTTGGTCCTTCTTCAGTCTGTTTCCTTCTAAAACCTGACCATGATCTTTCCTGGGCCATAGTGTTGAAGAGTGTCCCTTTCACGGCCCGTACTGCCAAGCGGGGCTCACGCTTCTTCTGTGATGCAGCCCACCACGATGAGTCAAACTGTTAGCCCTCAAGGCTGGGGCCCCTGACAGGTACTGGGCACCGTGGCTGCACTCTCTGCATGCCTTAGAATCATCTGGTAGCAGCTTCCCATGGATGGAGACAGACTTCTTGCATGCTGCATGCTCCAAGAAACAGTTGATCCCTTGCATGTTTCCTCCCACTAATTCTATCCTAGCTACTAAGAGCCAAGGGCTATGGAGTCCTTGGCCCGGGTTGGAGCTGTCCCAGGGCAGGCAAGCCCAGGCCTCATGGTTCTGATCCTGAAGCTCCATTCCTAGGCCCAAGATACCCAGGGTCCTGGCCTCCACTAAGAGCTCTGTAATTAGCTGCTAGTCAGGATGTCCCCTGACCTCTGCTTCTTGACATCTATTTAATCTGCTTGTGGTGTTTTCCTGAGTGGATTTTAGATCCCTGTTACCTCCTAAAAAATGGCTCCAGTACTTTCTCCAGCTGGTCCTCTTCATAGTTGACTACTTAACTCCCTGTCCTCCTGAAGGTGCTGTCCTGCTCAGTCTCCCTGCCTGTTCACATGCATCTGTCTTCCCCACAGGCTTCAACCTCCAGCCCATGGTCACTTGCAACCAAGCCAGGAGTGCTGTACCACCCAGTGGCCCCCCTCGGGCTCCAGGTCCCCACTGAGATCCTCTTGGAGGCAGAAGTACTTTAATTCTCAGAGTCCTGCAAGGCTGGGCAGTGGATCCAGGGCCCAGCAGAAAGCTATGCTGTTCCAGCTGTAGCCACTCAGGCTCTGAGGCTGGATCTTCCCTGTGCCACTGTGGACATTAGGTCTAGGAGGCTGGCACTTCTCTAGTGCCTCCCATATTGCACCTTGCCCCCAGTCTTAACTTCATTCAGGGCTGGGGAAAACCACTTTCCAGCTTTGGCTTATGAAGACTAGAGTCATCTCCTACTAGAGTCTAGTGGGATGAAAAAGAATGCTGTACTCTTATTTTTTCTTTTTGCAGTCCCACAGTCAGCTCTGGTCTAGAAATATCCAGGCTTATGGATCCCTGGACTCTGCCAATATCAGATCATCTCACAGAGTATAAAGCCCTTTATCTGGGCCCACTGCCTTCTTGCACATTCTACCTGAGACTTCAGTTTTTCACCCTGCCCTCCAGATCCTTGGTCCCACCCACCTTGGCTTCCAGCTTCTTGGCTCCCTGAGCCAGCTGCTTCCCCTGTGTGACCTCCTGCTTCTTGCTCCACTTCCTCAAAACCAAAAGGTGTGGGGGAAGACTTGAGGTTTTCAGTCTTCAAAGGTGAAAAGCGAGGAGCTGACCCTGAACATGGAGAGTGCAGCAGTGGGACCAGCCAACCCAGGTGGCCACCCGCTGCAGGGTATGTCCTGCTCCAAACAATGAAAGGAAGGGGCTGGGCCCCACCCCGCCCACTGTCTTCCCGCTGACTGAAGAGCGGAGACATTGTATGTATGTACCAGCTCCAACTGTTTCACCTATCCTCAGCTAGGTGGATTCTGGCCAGGAACAGGCAACATGGAGGATTTTCATAGACTGTTTGCTCAGTTCCCTACTAGGTTCTCTGACCCTAGGAGGGAATGCGGGGGCACTTTGTTTTGTACATGTACCATTTCCTTTCTCTCTTGTACATAAATCCCACACTTCTTAACAAATCTTGTGCACCAGGCTGTCTTCTCTTTCTTGGTTTGGGTGGCTAGGGTGGGGTGGCCATGAGGATATAAGAGTGGGTGGGGGCAGTGTTTGCCTTCGCCTCCATCTCAGGAGTGATGAGCCTATAGGGCAGGGAAGCCTGGCTGGGTGGGCTTCAACTACACAGGGAAAAAGATGTTAGAACAGTAGTGCCCTCTGCTGGTCCCCAGTGGGTGGCACATGAAGAGGACAAAGCAGTTGTAGATCATGTTATAAATATTATTTAAAAAACAAAAACAGAACACATACATCGGGTCCCAGGGATAGAGGAAGCAATGGTGGAGCCCCAGGGCCAGGTCAGGCAAGAGCAGGCACTGATGCTAGAGGGTGAGGACCCTGCCCTCTGCCACCCAGGCTGTGTCCACCAGCCTGTCTCTCCCAGAAACCCTTCTCACACTCTATCTACTGGCATCACCCACCCCATGTGGTATAGACTGCCCATCTCTGGTCTGGGGCTGAGGGCAAGGACTGCACTAGTTTCTGAGAACTAGGGGACCCTTGAACACCAAGAGCAACCTTGAGAGGTGCTAACAGTAGTGTGCTGGGATGGGTTACTTCAGGGAAAGTGGACACAGACCAGACATACGAAGAAGTCTGAGGCAGATGGTGAGGATGGTCCCGGAGCCACTGCCTCACGAAGTCCCAAGGCAGGAAGTAGCTCGTGGGGTCATTGGTGATCATCCAGCTGCTGTAGTAGTGTCCGCCTTCGCCTCTCCAGCTCCCCCTCACTCAGCTCGCTTTCTGATGTGTCCCAGCCTGTCTGTTGAGCAAAGGTGTGGCTTACCTGAGCCCCCTGGACAGTGTGTCACAGGCTGGGGCAAAAGCCAGGTCCTTCCATTCACCTTCTCCTTCTTGATTCCAAAGCCTGGAGAGCGGTTAGGGAGCTCTGCCTGCCGGAGTTCCCTGTCCTTGTCCTGCTCTTGTTCTCTGTCTTCACTCTCCTTGCCAGCTTTTTCTTCAGGATCCGTCTCACTCTCAGGACTGTTCTGTAAAAGTTCAGAGCCCATCTGAGCAACCAAGCAGAACAGTTAGAAGGCAGGTTAAAATGGACCCGAGGATCCCAGCGTTCTCTACTTACCGATTTGTGTCTTCTCTTCTTAGTTTTCTTTTTTGGTTTCTTGGCTTTCCGAAGACCATGATCTACAGAGTTGAAAAACAATCCCTACTAAGTCCCACTGGGGGAGAGAAAAGGCTGATCCTCTTCTCTATTCATTCTGTGTAGATGCTGGCTCCTGCTCTGAGGAAGGCTGAATCTGGCTTCCCTCCATCCAGCTCTTTGCCTGGGCAGGGATGGGAAATCCTGCTCCCTAGCTAGGCCCTACCACCCTTGTCACCACCCTTCAAGGGGTCTGGCACCTACTGTGCCTCTACTTAGTCAGGACCACAGTACTCCAGCTCCCAGGCTCCTCCTACAAACTGCTTACCCGACCCAAGGAGAAGGTGGGAGGATGGGGAGCCTGGTCCTCCAAGGGCAGCACCCCCACTTTCAACTGAATCAAGTGAGGATGAGGGCTCAGAGCCAGACTCTGAAGGGTTCCGCCGCCTCCGCTTCGGGGGCCGGAGGGATGGTGGGGGCAGCTCCTCTTCATCTGACTCAGAGCCCTGGGCAGACAAACATAGGTCAGCCCAGAGGTCTGTCCTCCAGGAGCCCTCACCTGAGAGCTGGGGGCAGGGTCCAGAACCAACAAAGGAAAACGGTCCAGTCTCACCCACGTCCCTCTACCTGCCGACTCACTGAGGGTGAGTGAGACCGCTTGCGATGGTGTTTCTTGCCTTTTCTGCTATGCTTTCGGCCTTTGGTGTGGAGGTGCTGGCATTCAGTCTGCTAGAGGCAGAGAGAGGTGAGAACCTGCCTTCCTGTCCTAGCTGGGCTTTCTGCCATTTCTAGGATCTTCGCAGTCCCCTTCCTTGGCTGGCCAGGTACATACCTCCAGCACCTGCAGGAACTCTCGGAAGAGCCGGATCCGCTCCGACTCCAGGGTGATCTGCTCAAAGGCTGAGTCGCACACAAAGCGCTCACGGACCTTGAACGGGGAGAGCACTGCTGATCAGACCAGGCCCTGCCTGGCCCAGCTTGGACACGCCACGAGCACTGGGCAGGGCTGGGGCAGAGGAAGGAAGGGAACTGGAGCTGGCCCAGGGCTTGTGCTGTGACTGGGGTGGGCCCTCAGTGGTGGAGAAGCTCCGCTGCCCTCAGGCTTGAGGGTGACTGGGGCCAGGCTGTGCTCCTGACCTCTTCCCAGGCAGTGCCCAGCTCCAGAGCAGGCACGGCCTGCCTCAGCATGCTTCGAAAGGCAGCTTCTCTGCGCCGCATCCTTCGTGCCTCCTCCTTTTCCCGTTCCCTCTCCCGGGCCTCCGCTTTCTCCAGCAGCTGAGGGCCAAGAGAGACAGAACGGGGTCAAGTATACTGTAAGAGGTAGGAGAACCCAAGATAATCCGCAGGGTAGTGAGAAGGAACAAGACACTGGGTAAGTGAGAACCGCCCAGCCCTGCCCATCCCCTCACACTATTGAAGGTCAGCTTGATGTTGCCTGCGTCCAGCGCAGCAGCCCTCTTGTCAAAGCTTATGACGTGGGCGAAGTCCTCAAAGGCTGTGTTCACCTCCACACAGAAGCCCCGGTCCTGTGGGCACAGCAGTGCGTGAAGGCCAGGGGCACAACAGGCCCAAGACCCAAGGCCAATAGGCAAAGGATCAAATTGTAAGGCGTTCAAGCCTCTGCCCTCACATAGGACCCACAAGATATGACACCTTAGAAACCACACTAATTCTTCATTTTATCCCTCCCATCCCCCCTTCCGACCTGTGTGGGTTCATACGGAGCCAAGGAAGTCAGAAAGTTTCTTCACAGTCTTGATTGATGACTGAGTTGTTCACAATTACGCCTTTGTTCCTCTGGCCACAGCTGGGCCTTCCTGGGGCTAATGGAAGCTGCCATGCATTCTTAACATCTGGGCTATCCCCTCTGCTTCTTGTACTGAGTGCTTACTATGTAATAGGTTCTCTGCTGAGCGCTTGACACATTTCTCCTTTAATCCTCCCTGTTCTGTTAGGTCAGTCTCATTTTATGCAGACAAGAAAAACGAAAGCACTTGCTCTACTGTATCCCAGGTCTAACCCCAAATCTGTGCTTTAAGCACTACACCCACCATGACTGCAGTTCCTGGAAGAGATGTTGCCCATTGATTGTGGAACTTCCCAGCAATTTTAAAAACATGTCCATTGTCTTAAGTACATAGAGAGGCTCTATACATCTCATCAAAAAAGCCTCCATGTCCCAGTGAAGTTGTGGTGAAGGAAAGTGACCTCACTTGGCAAAGCTGACATGAGGTAAATGGAATACTGGGTCACAGGCCGGCTTTCCTGTACCTTCCACACAGCTGGCTTCCTCCAGTCTTCCCACTTGCTGATGCCAGGAGTATATTTCCCCAAGAGTCCTTTCCCAGTCAAGGCTCCAGCCCTTGCAAACAAACACCCTTCTTTCTGTATGAGTGAGGACTTGGGTGTACAGCTCTGTCTACTACTCCCTTTCAGAGTGTGGGTCTCACTGAAACTGAAGCTCTCCATTTTGGCTAAACAATCGAGTTAAGATCATGTCTCTGCCCTGCTTCAGTGTTGGGGTCGTAAACATACCCAGACTTTATATGGGTGTGTTGAGGATTCAAACTCCAGTCCTCCCTAGGGAAGGCTTGACTATATCTTCTTCACAGTCTTCCCAAGGAACACACAGCTCCCTATACTTAGAATAGCCCTCCATCCTGCTGTTAGCTTCTCAAACTAGCTGTTTCTTTTCCTCACTTTCAATTCCTCAGACACAGCACAGAGAAAAGGAATAAGCATTTATCAAGAGCCCATTATAAGCAAGACACTTGTCAAATGTTTTTTAAACATGTTCCTTAATTCTTACAATGTGGTATATAGATTATCCCCAATCTATGGAGGATGAAACTGAGGCTTAAAAGCACCAGATAAACTTGAGGAGTTACTTCACTATGAAATGCATGCAGTACTCTCCTCTCCAAGACTCCCTGTATCTTGACCTTTTTTTGTCAATTCTCTTGTGTGGACACATGTCCCTGAGAATCGCCTTTACACTATTTTTATTATTAGTTTTTGTTTTTTGAGACAGGGTTTCACTCTGTAACCCTGGCAGTCCTGGAACTCACTCTGTAGATCAGGCTGGCCTCAAACTCACAGAAAGATCCACCTGCCTCTGCCTGCCAAGGGCTGGGATTAAAGGCATGTGCCACCACTGCCAGGCTATTTCCTTTTTCTTTCTTTCTTCCTTTCTTCCTTCCTTTCTTTCTTTCTTTTAATCTGATCTACATTTTCCCTAGCAATTTCACCCCTCATCTGTTGACTTTCAGACCCATACCAAACTGGCTATTTTAATGTACTGCTCCCATACCCATTGTTAATATTCTAACCCAGATCTGCAGTCTCCTATCTGCTCCGAGTTCAGAGCTCTACATTGTTCCAGAAGACGAAAGGTGTCCCTACAGTCCATGTGACTGTGGGTGGCCTTAGGAACATCTAAGATCACCTGGCTGCCTAAGCTGGGAGCCCAAATGAAGGAGTAGAAATTGGAATTGCCCAGAATAAATAACTGCTTTTTCAGGCAGTGTAGACAGGAGGGGCCCAGCAGGCCTTTCTACCAGTTACTTTGGCTAAATGTTAACTATCTAGTAAAATTTAGCCATCTTAAGATAGGTATTTGGGCTGGACAGATGGCTTAGCAGTTAAGAACACTGGCTTCTCTTCCAGAGGTCCTGAGTTCAATTCCCAGCAAGCACATTGTGGCTATGACCATCTATAATGAGATTTGGTGCCCTCTTCTGGCATACATACAAAAATAATAAAAAAAAAACTTTTTTTTTAAAATAGGTTATTTATAATTTACAAGATTACCCTGTATAAGATATTTTACTTATTTTTGCTTTTGAGACAAGGTTTCTCTGTGCAGCCCTGGCTGTCCTGAAACTCACTCTGTAGACCAGGTTGGCCTCAAACTCACAGAGATCACCCTGCAGACAATTCTTTCTGCTCAACTCTCAATCCTTAATGCTTAACAGCAATGCTGCCATTCATTGCCTGCCAGCACCCTTCCATCCTTCCCTTAACTTCACAAGATAATCGGCAATTCTACTTTAGTGCTTCTACCCCACTGAGTTTAAGCTTCTGGGGTTTTTGTTTGTTTTGTTTTCTAAAGAGAAAAACATGATTTTTAAATATCCCCATCTTATATATTTACTTATAAATGTCACAGTTCTTAGTCAGACTTGAGAGCACTTTTAAATGAATCCTTGGCAATTTCTAAATTGTTCTTGGTGATGTTGGTAATAACTCTTTGATCAGAGGTCAGAGGGGCACATAAAAGCCACCTTTAACTTTTACATTTTTAAAACATTTATTCTGTATGAACATATGTGGGCACCCATATACCATGGCATATGTGAAAATGATTCTCTTCTACCAATGTGGGTTTCTGAGATCCAACTAAGGTCATTAGTCTTGGTGCCAACCCCACCCTCTTTACCCACTAAAGCATCTCATCAGCCCAACTTTCTTTTTTATTTCCAAGACTGGGTTTCTCTCTGTGTGTAGCCCTGTCTGTCCTGGAACTCACTCTAGACCAAGCCAGTCTCAAATTCAGAGATTACCTGTCTACCTTCCAAGTGCTGGAATTAAAAGCATCCACCACATCATATCCAGCCCAACTTTATCACCTTTTTAACAAATATTTTTTTTATAAAAATTTTCTATTAAGAACCACCTCCAAACTAGGCCTCAGCACATGTTTATTTGAAGGAATCTATGGCATCTTGTCTCTTCATCTGTCACCTCGACTCTGCAATAGCTGCCTGACTACTGAGTGAGCCCCCCTCCTCCCCTTTCCACCCCGATAACAGTCCCTGGCATTGCCATGTGGTTCTCCAACCTTTGTATCACAGAGCACTGGTAGCAGGAGAGTACTGTGATTTAGTCCAGGGACAAGGTAAGCTTAAAAAAAAAATGTAGCTCAAGTACCTGCCATCACTTTTAAGATCTTGAGACTTGAAGGGCTGAGCTCTTACCTCTTCATTACCATTTCCCCTAATGATACTAACAGACTGGGAAGTACTTCACACCACCAACTGAGCTGTTATTTACAATATAAAAACTAAGCCTCTTCTTTAGCATCCAGAGCCCTTTGCAATGCTCTAGTGGACACATGGTTCCAGAGAAGTAGAAAATCCCAGGACAGCACAATGCATCTCACTTAAGAGTAACTCTCAAAACATTAAACTCTTGGGGATTTTTTCCAGGTCTTTAGAGATAGGGTCTGTTGTGTAGCCCAGGATGACCAAGCACTGGAGTTAAAGGGGTGAGCTACTACACCGGTTTATTAAGACCATATTAAACAGGTGACTGCGTTATAATGCAATATCCTATCCATTGTAAGATGATCTACCTAACAGTACCCCATGTCCCTCTCAAGCTAGACATCAAGTTACTTTCTTCAGTAATTGGGTGCCCTTGGTGGAACACTCACCATTTTTGAGACGAGGAAACTAACGCTTAGAAAAGTTGACACGACACATAAGGGCTTAATCTGAACTTTTACCACAAGTTCTGCTGCTAGTCACTGTATTGAACTGCATCTTCAAATACACATAGTATTGATTAGAATATTAGAATAGTATTTGCTTTTGAATTATTAGAATACTAAAAAGAATTACACTTTTTCCCCGTTTCGGAACACAAAGCCCCCTTCACTTGCTTACTCACATTTGTAACTGACAAACCCAGACAGCTATTTCTCCAGTAAAGAAAATGACAGGGCACATGGGCTAGTTGTGTGGCTGACACTTGCCTGAGCTTAAGAAGGCAGTAAAGAGTAGTGAGGAAAAGAACATCTCATCTCTTCCTCTTTCTAAGAGGGCAGAGGCATCTCAGCCAGTGTCCATGGCTTGCCTTGAAGAACAAGCCCAGTGTTGACACATCATCCAAACTGGCAAGAGACACTGAAAATCCAGATTTTTATGTGAAGCCAGGCATAGTAGTGCACACCTATAATTCAATTCTAGTGTATGGGAAGTGAAAGAAGGGTTGGGAATTAATAAATTCCAAATTCTTCAAAACACTCTACAGGCTGGAAGGAGTACAGCTATGGGCTGAGTTTACAATTTGCTGTGCCCTTCCCACCCACTTGCCTTGGCTCCTGTAGCGCCCTGTGCTCACAATACCCCACCTCTTCACCCTCTCATCCCTGAGGGTCACTGTCAACTCTTCTGATTCCTGTCTCTGAAGTAACACTTGCCCCTGGCTAACAGTTCTCATGTTTGTTTTAGGTCATGAGCTCCTAAAAGAGGAAAATGATTTTGCTTTTTTAACTTTTCTGACACCATGCTTCAACCTGGCTAGTACTCACTTTATTGCTCAGACTGGCTTTGAACTAGTGGCAGTAGTCTTGCCTCAGCTTCCCAGGTACTGAGAATATTAATACGGATTTCTACATCTGGCTAGAAAAATGTGTCTATTTGTATCCCCAGTACAAACTGCCCTGTTGTCCTGGTCTAGAGAGCGGCTTACACCCAGTCTGTATCCCTCACCTTAAGAATGTCCTTTATGATCTTCTTCTCATCATGGAACCGAGCCTTCAACTCCTCCACATAGAACTTGAATAAGTCCAGAGGAGTAGAGCCTGTAGAAAGGGAGAGATGGGGGCCTGGCGGGCGGCAGCTTCCCAAGGCCCAGGGTGGGGTCAAGGACAGGCCCAGGGAGTGGGATGCAGAGGGGCTGGCAGGTAGGAAGCCAGACCAGACAAGGGGAAGCCTGGCTGCCTTACCCGGCTGGCCCAGCATGTTGGCAAAGCGGACATCAGTGCTGACTGCTGGGTACAGCTCCATCCAGGTGGACATGGAATGCAGCTGCCCTGTCTCATGCAACTCGTCCAGGAAGGTCTGAACAAGGAAAGGCCAGTGATAGGAAAATGAGATAGAGAGGGAAGCATGGCCAGGGACTAGGGAAGGGAATGGTAGAGTTGGACAAGCAGGGATAGTTTAGGCAAAGATGAGGAGACACAGGGAAAGGTACTTCAAAAGGAGGAAAACATGAATATACAAACAGTAAGCCAGTCTGGAGGCAATAAAGCAGAAACCTGCAGGCAGCAGCACCCTTTTCTGACTTGGCTTCAATTTCCTGCCCAGCTTAGTCAACCCACTAATACTGCTCCCAAGCTAAGGACAAACTGTCTGTCTGGTTCCCACCCAAAGGGAAAGACACTGGTCTAGCTAGCACCCATGTCTGAGGGTGGTACAAGCAGCTCATCTCACTGAAGGGGCACTACTGCAGAATGCCTTAGGGACATGCAGGGGGCTAGTCAACAGACAGCCTCATTGAGCTACAGAGAGGCTGTGGTCTCTAGCAGAGCTGAGCCCAGCTCTGATCCCAAGAACAGGAAGATACCTGAAAAGCCTCCCGGTTCTTCCGTTGCTGGCGCCGCTCCCGAAGCCGGGCCCGTTCCCGCTCTTCCTCCTCCTCCCTCTCCAAAGCTCGGATGTGCTCCTCAAAGCAGATCAGTGCATCTTCTTTGTCCATGTCTATGTGCAGGGAAGAAGTCTGCAGGTACCGCATCAGTGGAACAGCCCCTCAAATGGGGACAGACCCCATTTCTCAAGAGTGCTTCCCTTGTAGGTGCTAGGGGCCCTCAAGGGGGTGGAGAAAAGCGAAGCGGGGCTATATGGCATCAGTCACTAGTAGTAGTGACTTGGGGAAGAATATTAATTGCACTGGAAAAAACCAGCAAGTACTAAGTGATGAATTCAGCTTGTAGAAACTACCATATAAACCTAGTTATCTTAGAATCTGAGGCAACATATCTTAGGGAACTGGAACTGAGGACCTAGGTTTAATTCTCAGCACTACAAAAAAAAAAAAAAAAGGCTGAATTAAAATGTATGTAAGGGCCAGGGCACCATCTCTAGCACCACATACACACAACAGCAAACCAGAGGGGAATAATCTGAAACATCTGGACCCCCAGAGTCCAAGGCTAGGGTTTCCAGAATAGGCAGGGGCAGGCTCTAAGGTCTCAGATCAGTGAGGAAAAGGATGGAAAGTCAGACTTACTCTGCAACTGCTGGTCCTGAGCAAAGCTGGGGTTGTCCATGAGGTACTGCTGGGCCTGTGACCATGTGGTTTGGAAGTTGACACTGGTCATCCCATCCAGGATGCTCTTCAGGGCCTGGATATTTCGACGACGAAGCTGCTTGGCTTGTTCCTGGAAAGCCATAGGATGAAAGTGAAGCAGAGCTGGCAAAGGAGGATCTAGGAAAAGGAAGTAGCTAGAAAACTCTAGGAGAGCCAGACTTTTATGTCCCAGGAAGGGGGAGGAATTCCAAGTCACAGACCAGTGTCCTCCTTAACCTTCCCCCACTCAGGACTATTGGCCCAGTGCAGAAGAAACAGGAAAGGTAAAAGTTCCACACTAACACCCAATTCAGAAGGGACACTGGCTGAGTAGAGAAATGAATAGCCATGATGCAGAGGAAATTGAGGGCTAGGAGAATCCAGGCAGTGACTATGACCATTACCTTCTCCTTCTTAGCCAGGAAGAAGAGGACATCATCATAAACCTCTTTTCGATCCCTCTCAGGGACAACAGCCCAGACCTCCAGGTCCCCAAAGGTCTGTTCTGCTCGCCTGTGGAGCACACGGGCTGTGAGTAGGTAGAAAACAGAACCCTGCCTGCATCTGTGTGTTCTCAGGGTTCCTGAGCCCCAGACCAGCCTGATACAGTTCTCTGACCGATAGCGGGTGGTGGAGGTCATGCGTTCGTGCTGTTCTAGGAAATGCTGCAGGGTCTGTTTGGCCTCCTTGGCCCTCAGCCGGGCCTCCTCTTTCTCCTCCTTCTCCCGCTGTGCCTTGTAAGCGTTAAATGCCTGCTTCTTCTCGCTCAATTTGGGCAAGGCACTGTGTGGATAAGGTGAGGACAGGGAGGACACAGCTTGAATTACCCCCAAGACAGGGGGAAAGTCTCCAAAACACCATGTTGGGAACCCATGCATGGGCTTAGCATACAGGTGTCCAGAACATGGGTACAGATAAGTAGTGAAGGGAAGAAATACTGAGCCCTTTTGCTTAGGTGTTCTCAAGTCACCATCAGACACCTGCCCTGTTAGGGCCCCTATTCCCTATAGTTCAGTTCAAGCCAATAATCATTTATTAAGCATCTCATGGTTGTACTGTTCCCTCTTCTCATCCTGGAGCCACTCTAGATTTTCCTTCTCTTGCACCCCATCCCAGCCACTTGGACCTGAGTGCTGAGTTGAACATCTCAGGGAGTTCCTGGCCCAGTTGCCTTCACGAACAAAGACTATCTCCTCCTGCTCAAGCCTACCTGTAACGTGGGTCAGTGACTACCATCTTCATGGCCTGTTCCCACGAAGCATTGGAAGGGACAGCCTGGAACAGAGGCATAGTTCTCTGAGTCTGCCCACCTTCACATCCTGCTAGCCCTCCCTGGGAGTCTATGCCAAGTACCTTGTCCCTCAGCAGCTCTTTGAAAGCCTGCTTTGCCTTCTCCCGGTTGCTCCAACTGAGGCCAGATCTCTCTGGTTCTGGCCTAGCTTCCTCCTCTTCCTGTGGTAGCCGATGCTGTCCAGTAGAACTGAAGAGGAGAAGGGACTCAGCCAAGAGCCCACAATCCTTATAGTTTTCAGTACCCTTCACTTTCAGCAATTTACTGTCCTTTTCTTGCTCCCCAGGGAGCCCTTCAGAGATCAGGCTCTTCACAAGTCCCCTCCCTCCCAAGGCTCTGAAGAGAATGAGGCTGCAATGAACAAGGGTGGCTCTCACCTGCTGGGGCCCTCCTCCCGCTGCAGGAACCCCTGCTCCAAGGGCTGGGCAGCCTCTAACACATCACAATCTTCACTTCGACCTGGCTCAGGTTCCAGGAGGGCCATAGGCACTGGGATGGGGCCAGGAGGTATAGGTGGAGGGTCAGGCTGTGGCTGAGGTGGCTGTGGCTGTAGTGTCTGTAGCTGCTGGGTCTGCTGTTTTCTGTAGGCAAGCCAAAAGGGTGATGGTGTACCAAAGCGAGGACAGGAAAGCAAGGTGGGCCAATTGCTCTAGCTTGGGAAAGACTGGGTCTAAAGCAGCTGGCCCCATAAAAGACTAAGACTCCTTCTCCCATAGAGAAAGGATAACGGTAAATCCACTCCCTCCCCCGAGTGCTCCAAGAAAGGAAGGTTACATGGTCAAGTTACTTACCCTGAAGACTCTTGTTTGACTAGGGCTGCAAGGAGAAGAGATAATAGTCACAGAGTAGCAAAGGACTCTGAGTAGCCTTGCCCAGTCTTCCCCTTCTACACCTCCAGGACCCCTCACCATCCAGGTCATCCAGATCCTTGGGCCGGGTCCAACGGGACTCTTGACTCTGGTTGTTGTAGTAGTATGGCTTCCCTGTGTCTGATTTGTACTCTTTCCAGGGACACTGGGACAGCAGCAGCTGTAAGAGGATGGGTCGGAAGTCATCAACAGCTGGGCAGCCCTTCAGCCTGTCAGGGGAGCTAAGGGAACCCAGGGACTAGAGGACACAGCACTTTTTAGTGCCACCTGGCCTTGCCTGAATGGGGGGAAGTAGACTTCCTAAGACTCTAGGGAAGTAATTCCAAGGATCATGGAGGTGGTCAGGGATCTTGGGGTCAGAGGAACTGCAATGAGTATGGCTAAAGACTCAAGGAAGGTCACGGACTTGGGAGGGGCAGAGAAAAGAGCTGAAAGAAAGAGCCAGAAAGCCCCACTTAGGACCTCTGCCTTGGACTTGAGCACGCTGGGCTTCTCCCACACGGACTGTTTGTCATCAGCGTTGTAATAGTAGATGCGTCCATCAGGGGCCACATGCTCACTCCATAAGGCCCTCTAGGGAAAGGAGCACAGAATCATCATTAGGCTTCTTTCCTAAAACCTCTCCTTACTCTGAAGACTTAACCATCAGCCTCCCACTTTCTACTCAGAGACCTAAGCTAGAAGCACTCACCGGAGGACCTGTCCCAGCCACAGCAGCTAGAAAAAGAAGCCAAATGAAACCTACTAAGGCCTTGCTCCAAACCCCCATATTCTCCCCACTTACTCCTCCCTTATTCCATCCCATAAATATCCCCCTGATCCCATCAACATCCCAAAATCCCTGGCATCCCAACAGGCATGATCCAGCGTGGGCTCCAGTCCATGGTCCCCTCTCCCCTATGCCTCCCAACCTCCGAGCCTGGGGGGAGCAGGCCCCCAGAAGACTCACAGCTGGCGGTGTCCGCACCCGGAGCCGTCTGCCGAAGAAAGAGGAGGGGGAAGGGTTGGGGCCAAGCCCAGTGGCCCCCATGACCCAGGCCATGGGAGATGGAGAAGCAGGCCAGGCCAGGATCTGTGTGTCCTGTTCCCAGGGATCTCTGCCCTCTAATAGTCCTGTCCCCTCCCCCCTGCCAGGGCTGTGACTCAGGTCCCACGGGGAGTCGCACAGTAGCTCCTTTCTTCGTCTTCCACAAGTAACAGTATTCTGTTGAATCAACTCCTGAGATCCATCTCTTCACAGTAGATGCCAAAATTCTACACCCCACTTAAGACTCCATCCACTACACTGAGCAACAGCACAAAATGCCACTGCCTCCTTGAGAGGCAAAGAGGATGTGATATGAAGAAAACTTATGTGTCTAGAATGCAGGAATATCTGAATGAGTGATTCTTTAAGGGTGTGGCATGAGAGGTAATGAGAGATCATGAAGCCTTTGGCGATGAGTGGAAAACTAGAACTGCTGAATGTGTGGCTGGCGAGGATTTGGATGTGAGGAACACTGCCAGGGACCAGAGTAGACACCATAGGAGGGAAAGAACAGAGTCCACATCCATGCACTCCAAGTTAGACCTACAGAGTGCAAGATACAGCCTGCTTCCTGCTCGCCCCCAGCGCTTACCGCTGCAGTGACAGGCACCGCTGGCATCAGCATCCCTGGCATCATTGGAGGTACCATTCCTGGTATCTATAGATATGAAGACCAGCAGCCAGTATCAGAGTAAGTAAGGGCTAGGCAGACCAGTCTCTCTGAGCTGGGTTCCCTGAGAGATCCCTTTGGGGGCTCCAACCCTCACCTGGGGCACACTCAAGCAATCTTCAGGTTCTGGACACACCATGTCTGAGAACTGTTTTAATCATTCAGCAGACAAAGATGAGTCTGGCCCAAGGCTTCTTTTCCTCCCCAATTTCTAGAGCCCAAATGCTTGCTCCCTTATCTTTCCCAGCTAAAGACCCCATGGGGTACAATTACCTGTGTAAGTGGTGGTGGTGCCCCCATTGGTGGAAGCATTGGGGGCAGTATGCCAGGTGGCATGGGGGGAATAGCTGGTGGTCTCTGACTCATAGGGGGCAGCCCCATTGGAGGAAAAGGAGGTGGGATCCCTGGAGGGGGCATCTGGAAATGAGGAAATAAAAAGCCATTAGACAGAGGACACTGTCTTATTCTGGCAGAAACCACCTATCCCAGGTACTACCCAGCCCTCATCCTGGCCCACAGCTGATTCTAAGGCTTTCATTTGAGAAGTAAAAAGCATAAAACTGTCTCCTCCTCCTCTACTGAAGAAGACAGGTAACTGAGGAGCACCTAGGCATAATGGCAAGCACACAGCTTTCTAACTGGGGGAGGGAGAGGAAAAGGGCAAGGGAACAGTACCAGACTGCAGAGGCTGTAAGCCCCCCAGAGACCTTCAGGTGAAGGGAGAAGGCAGGGATCCCAGTCTCTTACCTCCTGTCCCTTTCTAACTCACAACTGCTTTTGTAAAGAGCACAGGTAAGGAATAGTGAAAGAGAGAGAAGCCTCCCCAGCCCTCAGTCTAGGAGATCTTTCCCTTCCATTTCTCCGATCTCCAGCCCCCTTGTATCCCAAGGACAAAACAAAAAGGGAGAACTGTCACTTTATGGACTAGAGCTTTAACAGCAGCTCTCCCCCACCCCAGTGCAAATGTCACCCATCTTCCAAATACCAAAAGGGTGTGTTACAGGTCCTTGCTGGCAACACAGCAGTGGTAGGGTGGGGGCTGAGGGTGCAGGCTGGAAAAGCCAAGCCCAGGGAAACACATAAACTTACGAAGGGTGGTGGCATCATGGGGGGCCCCGGTGGGAAGGGGGCAGGCGCTGCTGGGGGCCGGGGACCAGAATCGGGAACCGACTGTTGAGGGAGAGAAAAGTCATAGGACCCAGGATGGGCACAGAGATGGACTTGCAGAAGGGAAGCAGAGGGATGAGGATGAAAGAGAAACACAAGTTCAGGAGGGAGTTTCCAAGCCCCATTTCCTACCCATCCCGAGCCTGAGCCCTGCAGAGCTCTGCTCTCTAGTGCTAGCCCAGAAAGCCAGCTGTCAGAGCCCTTCATGTTATCTTTGTTTTGGGAGTTCCCATTTTGCCAAAGCCACAGAAGAGGCACAGAAGGCTCTACTACAGGCATCTGGCTCTTCGCATGCCATCAACTCATTCTCCTTAAGCCCTTGTTCAGTTTACTGGGTTGAAGATTCACTCCAAAACTGTTGGTCCTTTACAATAAGCTTCCTTCTAACCAGACTCATTCACTCATCCACTTGCTTCTGCTTTTACTCCTAAACACCACCTGGACATCCTCCCCCACCTCTGATGACTACCATCCTTTACAGACTTTGAACATGGACACAGGCTTGCACAGTTAAGTATTCCTGTCTTCCTCCAATAGCTGACATGACAGCATGTAAAGTAGCTTTCTCCAATTTCTTCTCTATCTGACCCCCTACCTTAGTTTCCTCATGCACACAATTTTATTACATTTGCCTGAGCATGTCTTGCCCTACTAGTAGGTGATGCCTTCCACAGAAGCAGGGATCATACGAGTTGCTGAAAGCTGGATTCTTGGTACCTTCCACAGGGTCTGGCACATAATAGGTACTCAATAAGTACTGAATGAACTTAAAACAAATGAAGCAAATTTCTACACAGAAATTCCAATTCTAAAATGTCATCCTCTATATATATATATTATATATGTATTAAATGATAGATATACCAAGTCTTCTTTCATAAACACAGACAAGATATAAGCTTAAATAGCCATCAGTAAAGAGTTACCACACACAAACATAAAATGGAACACTACACAGTCATAAAAAATAATGGACAAATTCTAGGGCTGGAGAGATGGCTCAACAGTTAAGAGCTCTGGCTGTTCTTCCAGAGGACCCAAATTCAATGCCTAGCATCTGCATGGTGGCTCACATCCATCTGTAATTCCAGTTCCAAAAGATCTGGCATCCTCTTCTAGCCTCCTTAGGCACAAATACGGAATATGCCATAAATGTAGGCAAAGCACTCATACATGTACATTGAAAACAAATAAATATTTATAATTATAAAAAAATAAGGAAATTCATTACTAAGATATAGAACAATGTCAAAATCTTAATATATTGACAAGTTGTGGGGGAGGTAAGATGCAATGAAGCTCTGTCACATATATAAATATCGGTGACGAGAACAGAAAGGAAAGAGGCTTGTCACAGTATGACTTGTGACACACATTATAAATATGCTACTATGTGGCTTTATTACTTGCTTAAGAATATTTGGTGGTAGGGGCAGCTGGAGACACTGTTCAGGAGTTAAGGCCCTTGCCTGCTCTTCCAGAGGACCTCGGTTCAGTTCCCAGCACCCACATGATGGCTCATAAGTATGTATAACTGCAGTTCCAGGGGATCTGACACAGTCTTATGGCTTCCATGAGTACCAGGCACAGACACACATGTAGGCAAACAAATATACAAAATAAATTTTTTGTTAAAAAAGTATTTTGGGGGCTAGAGAGATGGATAAGTAGGTAAGAGCACTTGCTGCATGAGTACGAGTTTGGACGACAGAACACACACACACACACACACACACACACACACACACACACACACACACACTGCATGGTTATAAACCATGCTGAGGAGGGCTGAGACAGGACAATCATTAGAACTTGCTGGCTGCTAGCCTAACTTAACGAGAAGCCCTGTCTCCAGCAAATAAGGCAAAGAGAGATGGATAAAATACCTGTCATCTTCTTCTGACCTCAGTACAGACAGAAATTTTTTTGTTTGTTTGTTTGTTTGTTTTGAGACAGGGTCTCACTATATAGCCCTTGCTACCCTAGAACTCACTCTGTAGACCACACTAGAATCTCAAGAGATTCTCCTTCCTCTGCTCTGTGTGCTGGGATTAGAGAGGTGCCCACGCCCAACTCACACACTTTTTTTTTTAAAGGTGGAGATAAAAGGCTGCTCTTCTTCCTAGCTTGAAGCTGAGGAGCTGCATGGAGTTCTGGGGAGAGGTGGTAACTGGAGGAACAGGAGCCACCTCAGTTACCCCTATCCTGAGGAGGCCTAGACAGTTAAAAATGCTTTCTAACCTTTATCTCTAGAAATGTCTGTCTTTTACCTTGTCCTGAGTAGTATGTGCCAAGCTACTGCAATTGACCCCTATTCTCTACCTCCAACTAAGGGCACTGTTCTGTGCCCTGGAAATTATATCTGTATGGACAGAAACCACTTGCCATGGAAGAAACCAAATGTTGTGTTCTACTCTTCCATCCTGAGCTGCTTTACCAAATAATCAGGCCCAGCACCATGTTATCCAGTCCTGTCCAAGACAAAGACCTGGGAATTACCCGCTACAGTGTCCTTAATAATACAAGCCGAGTTCTCTTACTTTTTTTTTTTTTCCTTTTTTCCATCTAAAGAAAGTATTTCTTTCCATTTTTTTCCAACCCATTTTTTTCCATCTGATGTGACCTCTCAAACTGTTTTCCTTATATATACTTCTATCTGTACCCACAACACTCTTCCAAAATGTACCCGCTTAGAATTCTCCAGTCATTTCCTACTGTTCTGAGAGTGACCACCAAAGCCCAACCAGGCAGGTCTATGAGGCTGCCAACAACCTTGCCAACATCCTCCATACCATTTTCTGTGCTCCAGCCATACTCAGGCTTTCTACTACCTCAGGCATCCACCTGTATACAAAGCATCTCTCCTATGTTCTATACACACTTCACAGCCAACATACATTTCCCATGAAAGCCTTTGCCAACCCACTGCACTAGCCCAATTCTAAATGTACTGTCTCATGTGGCACTAAGACATACACTCTATTATAAACATGGATACTCACATGTTAGATTTAATGAACTGTAACATTTAGTGCCACTCCACTAAAATGAAAACTCTTAAGTGAAGAGGTAAAATCCACATAGTGACTCAACACTGTCATCCTAGCATTTGGAGATATAGAGAGGAGGATCTGGAGTTTGAAGCCAGTGTGGGCTATGTGGTGAGTACCAGGCCATCCTGGGCTGTTGAAATTTTGCCTCATAAATGATTTGGTGAAATGTCATAAGTGGAAAAAGGCACTTGCCTTCAAGCCTGAGGACCTGCATCTGGACCCTAGGACCTACAAGGTGGAAACAGAGAACTGACTTCCACACTCTTCTTCTGTCATCTACATGTGTACTCATTCAAAATGAGTAATGGAAATTATAGAAAAAATTTAAGGTGGGGGCAATAGTAGGCTGGAATTAATACTTGTTTCTTGACTTGACTGATCTTGGTAAGTTCCACCAAACTTGAGGGCCACTGATAAGGCCTACTATCAAGAAAACACTATTTAGAGCTGGAGGAAAGCCTGAAAATCACCCCAAATGCACCTCTCAACTTTTTGAGACAGGGTATCATTATATAATAAGGGTGGCATGGAACTACTGTATATTTCATTTTAACTTTAGCCTTCAAACTTGCAGCAAAACAATCCTCTTACCTTAGGATTATAGACATGTGCCAACATTTGTTTTATAGTTTAGACAGGTCTTAAACTCCTGATCATCTTGCCTCCACCTCATCACAGGAGTGCCACTCTACACACCAATATTCTTCTCTTGTCATGTGAGAAAGGTAAGACAGTAATGGCTAAAGTCTCACAGCTAGTTTCAGATGAGCCCCAACTAAATTTAGTTTGCCTCTCTTAGAAACACAATGCCTGCTAGATAAAGCAGGTATTTTTCAGACCAACCTTCCTTGCAAGTAATTAAATCAGCAAGACTCCAACCTCATCTTAAGAATGGACAGTAGGCCTGGTGGTAGTGGCACATACCTTCAGTCCGAGCACTAGGGAGGCAAAGGCAGATGGATCTCTGTGAGTTCAAGACCAGTCTGGTCTACAAGAGCTAGTTCCAGGAAAGGCTCCAAAGCTACACAGAAAAACCCTATCCTGAAAAAACAAAACAAAAAATGTACAGTAGTGCCTATTGCCTACCTCATAAAATTCTTTAACTTCCAGTCAAATGCTGGTGGCACATGCCTTTAATTTGGGAGGCAAGGCAGGCAGATCTCTGAGTTCAAGGCTAGCTGGATCTACACATTAAGTTACAGAACAGTCAGAGCTACATCTAAAGACCCTGCCTCAAAATAAAAACTAAATTAATAAGTTGGGAATAATGGCATATGCCTTTAATCCCAGCACTTCGGAGGCAGAGGCAGGTGAATCTCTGAGTTTGAGGCCAATCTGGTCTACAGAGGGAGTTCCAGAACAGCAAGGGTTACACAAAGAAACAATCTCAAAAAACAAATTCTTAAGCCAGGTGGTTTAAACACAGCACTCAGGAGGCAGAGGGAGGCAGGGGAAAATTTCTTTTTCTTCATCTACCATCCAAAGCCTTTCAATACAGCCAATTCCACACCCTGACCCATCCTGAGTCCAGGGCTTCCCAGTTTCTTTTGGTACAAGAATTGTTAGAGGACCCTCTTTTTCATTCAAGATTCATTCAAGATGATCGCTCTACTTTTATGTTACTGTGCACCCCACACATACTCTTTGTCCTTTCAGGATACAATGCACCACTTTGCAGAGTGGCATGCACCACTGTGAACATTTACTGGGCTTCTGTGCAGAGTTCCCTACATTTTGGAAGTTAGCTTTCTTTTTCTTTTTCCAGTTCATAATGTTTGAAAACAAGTAGGAGCACATAAAGACCCAAATCTTTTGTTGGGAATCATCCTTGGTCCATCTTCCACCTCATTCACTGAGGAAAGCAGTCTGTCTCAATCAAATTCAAAGCTCACTGACATAGCCTCACTAGCTGTCCTGCTCTGGCAATCCAGTCCCTGCCCTCAAAAGATAGAACTGCAGAGAGGTGGGCATTTTTGTAGGTTCTGGCTATCTGAACTCCAGTCTTTATGCCAGCACAACAAGCATTTCCTAAGCAAACTCCCCAGGCTGAGCTTTCTCTTTTTTATACCTCCCCTGACTGTCTAGACAGGGACTCCAACTGAAATGCTTCCATAAAACCTGGTCTCATCCCCAACCTTGGTGGGGTCTTGCATACAACCTAAAACACTGTCTGCTTATTTGTTTGCATAAATTCTGAGTACAGTCTGTGATAGAAACATGTACAATAGTGGGGATGCTTTGGCTTCAAAAAAAGAAGGGGGGGAGCTGTATCAAATACTCATATGGGAAAAGTTACATACAGAAGGCTAACTGTATATGGCCACCTTCACACCGGAATGTAGACTTCTGGCCAGAATTCAAACAATGGCCTATTTTAATCAG